AAGTGTTAATTGAGGACGACTAAACGTGTTGTCCGTCGCGGCCGCGTAACGAGGCGAAAAGATCCATTCCGCATATACAGCCGGACACGGAAGTATGGAAATGAATTTCACGTTTGGCCGCGTCTGGTTCTGTATGCTGCGGTGTGTGGGTCACGGGTATCGAACGGGTTCCCAACCGGTCGTCCACCGGTAAGCGCGAGCGAGGACGGCACGAAGACGCTCTCGTGTGCGAGCGTGACTCGTTCCGTCGATGTGGGTCATTCACGGGGAACCGCGTTTCGCACGCGCCATTTTTCGTAACGAAAAGGAAAGCCGTGGCTGGCAGGCACAGGCCGGCCGTGCGCTTAGCAAAATCTGACTTGCTCTTACGTAGAGACCTCCCCTGAGGTCTTCTCGGCTACTCACAGTAACGGTGTCTCGACCTACTTCCGTTCCCCATTATACGTGCCGATATAGTTTAACTGGGCATAGTCATTGTACAGATATGCGTGATGCGATTCGCATCTCTTTCAGCTGGTTACGGGGGGATGACATAGAACTTAGGAAGAGAGTTACATATATATAAATACTTACCCGCGCGTAGCAAAAAAATTACAGTAAAACATGATGCAAAATTAAAAAACGTAAAGAGTTATCGATTAAAAGTAAAAATTTATACGTTAAAAAGAAAACACTGATTAAAAACAACAACTGCTGAGGCGCGTATATGAGGATACGTGTTAAAAATATGGATCACGCTCCGTGAGAGGAGGACCAAGGATGGCTGTTTATTTTACGCGCGAGACAAGTTCGGAGCGCACTGCCTGGCAATATCGCAGTCGAGGAAAATCGCATGCATGGTCGCTCACGCAGAAGTGGGTCGTCGCGGAAACCATTGGCTCGCACGCGCCATTTTTCACAACGAAAAGGAAAGCTATTCGGACAAAATCTAGTCGATTTGCGTAGACTTCGGCCGTGCAACCGGCTGTAACGGTGCTCCGGCCTACTTTAGCCGCCCCACTGCGCGCGGCTGGAGGCGCGATCGCGTTATGTATATGCTTTCGGCGGGTAGTCACGGTATGGATATTTGCGAACGGAATTGTCAGACGATCTCTGATGAGCCTCATGCGTGTAGGATCCGAAAAGAATAGCAGAGACGAAACGGAGAAAATAAATGCGGATATATACTTGCGTGCACACAGACGATGCAATTATGAATGGACTTGAGCGATGTGTAGATGTGAATTTCATTCTAAGACTGTTACCCACAGCGAAAAAGATCATCCTTTGATGATTATATACAGACATTAATAATTATTTGAAATACTATACGCGTATTATTTATTTATAAATAGTGCGTGAATATAAAAACTATCATCATATTATAATATTCATCATATTCACTAAACCTTATGGTTCATTCATGCAAATATTGCATTAATATTGAAATAAATAATATATATATGTTGAGTATTCTCTCCAAATTAGATTAAACTTCTTTTTTTTTTTCAAGACACAGAATTCTAACCTATGTTAAAGAGGAAGAAATAGAACTTGATAAGTAAAGACCAGTTTATAACCAATTCTTGTCATTTTAATCGATCGCAATTAGCTCAAAAGAATTGACTGAATTGTTAATCGAATTGATATATATATTAAACGCGTACTTGACTGTTTAGTTAATGAGATAATTTAAAGAGAAAAAAAAAGAGAGACGCATTCGTAATAAAGCACGTCGTGAACACCAAACGACATCGCGATAAATCGGTACGACCGAATTCATCGCGCCACACGGATACCCGGTGATCCCATTGATAAGTAGCTCACAGAGACATTGTCGTAGGCCCGAAAAAGAACTCCGATTGATCGTCATTCGTGGATTCCTCGCGCGATCTTGCCGAGTACGTCCGCGCCATTGGATAACGGTACACAGCGAGCGCATCACGTCACAGCGAGAACAACCTCCCATCCCCCGCATTGGATCCTGGAGGGGGTCTAGCGTTGCGATAGTGGGGGTAAGGCCCACTTCGGAGCATTTACTGCCGACCGTCGCTTGACAAGGACGAACGGGGAACCGACGAGAAGGACGGGCTCGGTTTATCGAAATTGCTCTGGTAAGGCATAATAAAAGGGGTTCTCTCTGCGAAAGAATAATAACGATTATTCTGATGCGCTCGCGGAAGCGTCAGATACTAGTCCACGATTTGCACGTTTCTCACATGACGTGCCACCACAGCCAAGCGGATATGTCAATCGAGGAATGGAGAAAAGAAAGATCCAATTCGAGTATTCGCGACAGGATGCAGGGAGTAAAGAGCATCTTTTTTTTTTTTTATGCTGCGCGAGTAGCGATTACCCTTTTTGATACGAGGTTGTAAAATGGCACAGGTGGATCTGTATCGATTCGGAAATGCATATTGAATTGTCGTGCGAGAGCAACTATAATTGAGAATACGGAAGACACGAATTTCCGTTATTTAACTTTTATTCTATTTTTGTTATTTCTCACTCACAGTTATGATTTTCTGTGTTATCATGACTTCTTCTCTATATTGTTTTTTTTATATTCAATAAATTATGGTAACACACTACATAATTTTTCTCTACGCATCAAGCATCTTATTTAACTTTTTTCATCTTTGATGTCTATTCTTTCGCCTCTTATTTTGTAAAAACAGTGTCCAAAATCTCCGTCAAGTATTCTGCTCTTATTCTTATTGCCTCACTCTTCGTTTTTGCAAACAATTGATATTTATGAGACTTATTTTTTTCTATCTATTTCTGGAAGACAAATACTTTCTATTAGTAGCAATACACATCAGTGTTTATATATATAGCAGTAAGTAGATAATTTATAATTAGTTTAAAAAGAAAGAGAGAGAGATATGTTAGAATAATATATATAAATAATTATAACTATAACACTATATCTACTCACACAAACAACATTTATTAAGACGTTTACGTTCATAACTTTGTGTGACGTTTAATGAATGTCTAATAGTGATTTATAGAATGTTGTTCTGTGTGGGTACATACTTATATATTTATATAAAAACTTTTTTTTATCTATTATAAATTAAAATATAATTTTTTTATTTATAATAATGTACTATATTTAAACGTAATATAAAATATACTTCTTATTTATTTATGTTTTATATTTTATATGTTTAAATTATATTACGCTTATACTATATGTTTTATATTAAGTTTTACATTAGTTATTTATGTTTTATATTATATTATTTAATTAATAATTTATCATATATATAAGAATTCATCATATATAAGAATTTTTGTATTATTTACATAATACAAAACTATTATTACATAATACATTAGCATAATTAGTAAATTTTATATTATTATCGGAAATAACAAATAATCATGTCAATATATATTATCAATAAGGGTAAGTATTGTTATATATATCAAATAAAATTTAGTTTTACTCTTGTTGATAATTATGCATTTAGCAGATTATTAATGAGTACATATACAATATAAATATTGTAAAATATATAAAAATACAATAAAATAAATTATAACTGTGACTAATTTAATGTGTAATTATAAATGTGACTAATTTAATGCTAGTAGTTATACTAAATTATACAAAAAGATTGACATTATTAACCTTATAATTTTTTTATCTAGAGCTACTAATATTTGTTTTGAGATGTGAAAAGATGATATTTAAGGGTTTTTGGAGTTTGATTGCAAATTAAACTATTCTTATTTAACATTATATAAAGTCACAATTCTATAGCTGCATACAAGTGTTAATTAGATATATTGGGTTTTTTTAGTAGATTTATACTAGCTATATACACATGCACAAAATACATGTAATATAACATTTATTTTGCACATAAAACAGTTTAACTTTTTACACTATAAGCAAACCACATTGCTTTCGATTAGGCTACTAGAAAAAACATTTACAAATGCTGATTGCTAGCTTTGATTTATACTAACAAAAATAATAAATATACATACTTATAATAGTAAAATGCAACTAACTAAATCACATTGTTATTTTTAGTATAGCATTTATATTTGAATGCAAAAGATTAGAAATTTATTGACCACTCATATTAAAAAAAGAAATCAATAATATACAATAAAATATAAATAACCTTTGTATATAGTTTTGCAAAACTAATTATTTCCCTTCTTCTCTATAACTTCAAATTTGTATAAAAGAAAAAATCTGCTATCTTAATACTAACCTAAATCCTACAGTTATGCCAACGCAATTTTGTATTAGTTAAAACATTGAAAAAAATCTCTAAAAATTTGTGAGGCTTAATTTAACATACAAAATTTAAAAAAATAACATTAGTTTTAATATTGGTTTTATTTATTTTTTTTTTAATATACCAAAAGATAAATTAAAGATAAAACTCGCTCGGACAACAAATTCAGGTTCAGTTTACAAGATTAGAATTATAACAAGAAGAAAATAACAAAAAGAAAATTGATGTAATTTATAATATATATTTTTTAGTTTTGTATAAATTTGTTTTTAGAAAGAAAAAAAAAGAAGAAGGTTTTTGTTTTTAGAGGCTTGGTTTTATAGTTTTTTCTTCTACATTTTAATTTTTTCTTTCTCTTTCTCTCTTTTTCTAATACTTATTTATTTATCTATTGTATGGTAAATGCTAGAAAATGCAGCATGTTGTTTTTTGTTCTATTTTATTTCTTTTCTATTTCTTTATTTGTATATATGTTTAATAATGTAATTTGTATATATGTTTAATAAGTATCTTATATATAAGTATCTTATCTTATATATAAGATATTTATATATAAGATACTTATAGTGTTTTAAAAATAATATATATATTACATTATATGTACTATATGTTATATAAATATGTGTATATATATGTACTTATGACAAAAATTTTCAGAATTCTGTTTAAAATGATACACACATCTTTGTCGAAGTTTGCATTTTTGGAAGCTACATTGTCATCTACTACGGAAGAGAAGAAAGCCAACCAACAACAATAATGAATTATAACAATTACAATTCTGGGAATGTAAATTTCCAAGCTCAAGAGGCCGACAATTGTAATATCAATAAGTTCAATAACTATGCGCGTAATTACACTTAATAAATTTAAGTTTTAATCTTGCATCTCTTTGTTTCCTTCTTGCTCCAACTTTTATTGCTCTAACTTTTATTTCTTTTTCTGTTCGGCAAAGTTTCCTTCTTTTAACGTTCTTGTTATAAAAAAAAAAAAAATGTTTTTAAACGCGGCAATTTGGTCAACCGAGTGTACTCGGCCGTGGCTGGTTAATGTGCTACTAACCTAGTTAGTTGGAGCAAGTCTTCTTTCAAGAGAAGAGTGGGATCTGCGCCTATCCGCGACATCACACATGTGTTTTTAATATGTATACGCATGTAAGTTTATATGTATACACATTGTGTGTGTCGTTGTTATGTGCATCGTATAAATACGTAGATAATGTGTGCATAAGAAACATGTTTATGTATATATGTATATGATGATGTGTATGATTGTTGGATTTATATCAATTAAACGATTTATCTTATCTATCATGCAATTATTATATAAGTTACTAAACAAAATCATATTATATGCTACACATTTGCTGTAGAGATCTTTTGTTTATTCTTTCTTTTCTTGTTGTAAAGAGTTGCATTATTTATATATAAATTATTATAAGCAAATTTAGCAAAACAGTAATGTTAACATTAGTTTTTTGTATTTTTTTTATTTCTCATTTACTTTGTCTTTGTACTCGTTGCCAATCGAGATTTTTCACATGTTTCAGGTTTCAAACAGGTTCTTCCTCGTAACCAAAACGTTAAACCGCCTTCATCACAGACCGCTCAGTTTCATCCGTTTTGTTTCAATAATCTACCGCCAGAAAACAATACTGGTGATAAAAAGGTTAACACATTTTGGAATCAAGATCACTTGCCAAACAACGTTAATGGTGCATGGAGCTTTTATCAAACTCAAAGATCTCTTGAACCCTGGCAACCAAACGATTTGATCTACGAACATCCACTTTCATATCAAGACTCCTCGCCTTTGAATGAAAATAGTTACAAGTATTATACTTGCTCTGGATTTTTACCACCGTGCTTGGAACACCAATCGCCAAATCAGTTGTTGAATAATTTACAGAATCAGTTGCTGAATCGATCGCCAAATCAATTGCCGAATCAATTGCCGAATCAATCGTCGCAACAATCATTTAATTATCTCGGCCAAAATCACTTAGTACACAACAATTGTCAATTATATCCGTTTACAGCTAATGCAAACCAACAAACCAATATACAAATCGTAAATACTACACCTGAAAACCACGGCCGAAAATTCAATAATAATAATTATCCTATTTCAACATCTAATTTTGAATCGTTATTCAAAGCACCTATAGCAGAGGATAATACAAATATCGTAAATTCATACAACGTCGGCCCACGCAACAATTCTAACACATCAAAAAATAGTTTGGATATTGATCAGAAAATTATCAGTCAATCATTACATCTTTCAAAATTGGCGGAAACAATCGAGCGTTACTCGCCACCGCAACAATCCAATACAGAGACACAAAAAAAGAATCTTGTCAAACTGCCATTTAATAAATCATTCAAAACGTCACCCACGTCGACTAACGCACGTAGCATCGCTGCTACCAAAACGGAATTGGCTCCTAACAATTCACTGAATAATAATTATGCGCCGTTCTCGTTCTTAAGCGAAAAGACAAACACAAAACTTCATGCCGTAAACCCAATAAGACAGCTATTGAGCAGTGAATCAGTTCAAGTACAGTCTCAGTCTAAGTCGAATTTGTTACGACCTGTTTTAACAAAGCAGATTCCAAGTGACACCGCTAGCAAAAACATTTACGAGAATAACAACATCAAAAATAATAATATCATTAACAAGAATAACGATTATTCCGTGAATCTTTATTCAAATATTCTCGGTTATGATTTAAATACTCCGCTAAATCAAGGGAGGCAAGAAATATATGCATCGTTCAATAACTCGCCCGTGATATCAGACATCAAGAACAACACGGGTTCCTTACACTTAAAAGACAAAAAAGAGCTAGCCAAATTAGACGAAAAGATCGTGGTACAGGATCTAGCGGATTTAGAGGAAGAGCTTGCAACGGGCAGGATAAGACGTGACAAAGAAATTGTTCCCACCATTGACGGAGCCAATGTTCCGGAGAAAATCATCGCACAGCTGAGAGCTCTGTCCGATAAAGAAAGCTCCGACGACTTTCCACTGTCGGAGAACGCGAGCGTGTTGCAGCTGGACACAATTTCACCGATATCGGACATCGGGACAGATATGAAATACGAGACACAGTCGGGTCCGCCGACAGCGCCGTCTCATTTGAGCGCTCCCGGCGTCGAGCCGCCGCATAGTAGCCAAGGCTCCAGCATCGTGGTGGGTGGCTCAACCGAAGTAGTCGGCGTGGACAGTTTGTTGCTGTCGTCATCTTGGAGCGCGAACGGATCGGAATTCTTGGAGGAAGGAATTTCGGATGCGAAGCCAACAGCAGCCGGACTACAGGATTCCTGGGAGACAATCCTCTTGGGAACAGCGGTCGGTACGCCTCCGCAATCATTGGCGGAACTGAAGCCGCTCCCGCCTTTCAACGAATTACACGGACGAAATTATGCAGGACATCTTATCAACGGTATACCTGGTATACATTATAATGCGATAGCCTCATCTGTTCAGAAATCATCGATACCATCCACATCGCCTACACCGTCTTCTAATCAGGAATATTATGACTCGCCTGTGGTATCTTCAAGTACGCCGTGCACAGGAAGTCAAAAACAGCAACAACAGCACCAAAATCATCACCATCACCAACAGCAGCAACATCATCAGCAACAGCAGCAGCAGCAGCAGCAGCTGCCGCAATCGACGCAAGATGTTTATGATCTTTCTTCTGACGATCTCGCAGAAATTATTGGCATTGGTTGTGCGATAGCAGCAGATACAACAAGCAGCGGAAATGGACCTAGCCCAGAACAAGAGGCTATGATGGCAGATGCCTCGAAGGAGTGGATGGAAAATTTTGCCCAGTTGTTCGAGGATGCGCACACTTCTCCGCTCAAGACTCAAGAGACAACATCGCTCGGTGGTCCACAGTACCCCACGGTATATGTCGCAACGCCACCTACACAGCCGCAGCAGCATAGCGGATCCACGTTGCAGAATCTGCTTACACAAAATTATACACCTTTATTGCAGGCAAGATTGCAGGCAGGCAACGCTAACCTTCAGAACACATCTTGTGGTGAAACTCCATCATCAACTAGCCCTTACCCGCCGCTCAGTCCACCTAACAGGGTATCAACATCTTGTAGTCCCGACGATATCTTACATTCATCTTTTCCCGCTCCTTCGCATCCTAGGAAAAGATCACGTTCTTCGCCAGGCTCTGGTCAGAACCCAAATAAGAAGGGCCCCGCTGCTGGTGCTGCGGCACTACCGTACGGTACCGAATCCAGTTTAATTGGCGGAAAGGAAAAGCCAGTTCATAAATGTCATATTTGTGGAAGAGGTTTCCTTAATAAAAGTAATATCAAGGTGCACTTGCGGACGCACACAGGTGAAAAACCGTTTAAATGTGACGTGTGTAGCAAGTCATTCAGACAGAAAGCACATTTGATAAAACATCAGCAAATTCATAAAAGAATTAATAGAGATTAGACTGTCGCGGAGTGTTAACAAGCATAAAAAAAGAATTTATCTAAAACATTGGAAAAAATTGAAATTTATATGTAATTGGCAGCAACTTGCTGTTAATTTATAAAAAAAATTGTTTGTTGGGAAAATTGTTAATCGTAAAACAAAATCGAGTGAAAAAATTTTGATTTAATAACCACATAAGACTATACCAATGATCTATATACATAAACCAAGCATTCCGCCCGCGAAAAAGGAGTAAACTTAACAGTTGACAATTTGTCTGTTTTAAATTATCAACTTAACTTTCTGTTACAGTGGAATAAATGCTTAGTCTGTGTACATATTCGTCATTGAATTATATATTGAACACAAAAAATTATCTCAATGCTATTTTGATTTTCAACGTATAGTTTAGTACAAACGCCACGCGGCATTACCAAGTCCTAATTTATTCTTTTTTTCTCGAATTTGCTGTATGCGAAACAAGCAAGTAGCAATGGAAAGTAAGATAACTATTCATCAGAGATTATCTTACTAAATTTTAATGGCGCTAAGTATGAGTGAAATCAAGCTGCGCATCGCCTTATATCACTCAGCCAAAACTCTTTTAATATCTGTGATCCGAGCACTCGATTGATGCTCAACTAGTAAGCGCGCCTCTTTTTGACTTATTACCAGTTACTTTTAAGTGTGCTTTTTGCAAGTGTAATCTCGATTTTAAGTTCATTTGTGTTTTCGGTAGTTACCTCTTCCATTTAACTGTTTCAGTTTACCTCTTTTATTACAGGCTTTGTTCCGATATTTGTTGCTAGTATTAAAAATTCTCATTCACACAGTTCATGTGACATATACTATAGACTTTCTGTACTGGCAGTGAATATCAGAACGCGCAGCCACGATACTCTTGACTATTTGTCGGCTACTTAATTACATAAGTAAAATGAAGTGAAAATGTTATATGTGTACATAAAGACACACGATGTGCATATCTACATTCACATATTTTATGCAATTATGTGGTCAGTGTGAAAGTATTCGGAACACAGTGCGTGTAAAAAGCACTGAACTTAAGGCAGATGTATACGGGAATTTAAATGTGAACAAGGCTAATCTTAGCCGCTATTATCTAATTTTTTATCATTTTTACACTTTGTATTTAAGAAATAAATTTTTTTTTCAGGTTGAACTCATTTAATTCAATCAATCATGAGATGTATAACTCAAAATTATGAAAAATTATCTGCCTACAATAATATGTGACCATGAAGAAAGTTATCAAGTTTACGATATGTATTGTGATCAAATTGATTTATTATCAAGATTGTACGTATACACATTTTACGGTGAAAAAATAAGTAATTCCTATGGAAAGTTTATAAAATCATTAGATTTCTCACACCACTTCTGACACTTCTGTGTATAAATTTCTCTGATAGATCAGGTGCTGTTTTTCTTTACGTGATTTTGTACTGATGTTCATTGCGAAAAATAGCACAGAACCACGCAAGAAAGATAATCCTTGATCTATCAGGGAAATCCAGCAGAGCATCCAATAGCGTAGCCAGCATGAGAGCAAACGATTCAGCAAGCAAAAATACATCGTGTTCTATTGGTTTTATATTAATTAGTATAGATTACCCGGTAAAAAATTTTTCATATATACACAAATTAAAATTATTATATATAATTATTACAAATTTATATATATATATATATATATATATGCCAAATATGTTTATACAATTTTATACATGGAAAATTTTTTACCGGGTACTGAAATTGACTGATATTTTAATCATTTAAATGGATTAAAAATCTATAATTTTATTTTAAAGAAAAAACTAAAATTACATTATATCATATTTTAAACATTTGACACAAATATTTTTAAATAAATTTTTATATACATTTTAATTATATAAATTTTTATTTTTTTATATAAATTTTATTTAAAAATTAATTTAATTATTAATTCAATTTGCGATTATTATTAATCTTTAATTCCAATGCAATTGTAATCTCTTTTTTAATAGTAATAATATATTTTTGCTTGAATATATAATTCTTCAAGAAAATAAATTCTGAAATCATCCGAATTATATTTTTATATGTAATTATATAAATTTATAAATTATGTTTATTTATTTTTTTTTTATATAATTACATTTTTATTTATGATTTTGGTTATAATTTATATTTTTATTTGCACTTTTGTTTATGATTTATGTAAAATATTTAAATAAATTTAATATTTGTATGTTATGTAGTGTATTATAAGAATTTCTGAAAGTGTGTAGGAATTTTCGGGTTAAAACTGCGTTAGTGTCATTTTGCATTTCCGATGTTTTGTGAACAATTTAGTTCACTTCATCAAAGTTCAAGAGCAATGATTCAAAAGTAATCAAGCTGCTCTTGAACTCTGATGAGGTGAACTAAAGTGTTCTCGAAATGTCAATATGCAAACTGCCACTATAACGCGATTTTAATCCGAAAATCATTTTCAGGAATTTAAGTGGGTATTGCAATAGGTATACTTCTTTTTTTTTACATTTATATTTTACAAACTGAAAAAAACTAATTTGAGAAAAGAACTTCGCGTATTTTCACCGTAACGTGTGTATACATATATGTACGTATTATACAAAGTATCTGCATGATTTTCAATTGTTAAAAGATTATTTAAAAGACAAAAAAAAACAATTACATTTGTTGTCACAAAAATGTTTTACAAAAATTGTAAGTTATTTCAATCAAAAATAAAGGCAAGATAAATTGAAGAAAAATACAGAAACTTGATAATTTGATGATTTTCTAAAAATTCTTGTGCATGGTTCCCCAGATTGAAGTTTTATTCGTATTAATTTGTTTTTATATATCATTTCTTGAATATTTCAATTCTCACTTCATCAAAGAACAGCGTAATACTGTAAATAAGTATAAAAATTTATTTTACAGTTTGGACTTATTGTATTTTATCATCTTTTGATTGTAAATATTTAAACTTATTGTTTTATGTAGCATCTTTTGATTGTACATACGACTAGTTAAAAGACACTGCAACAATCCGCATTTTATCGCAATTTCTAGCATCAGTGAGAGTTTCATATAATAAAAAAAAAACAGAGATTAATAATATACTTATTATTAATCATACCATCACGCGAATGTGTTGTTCGCGCTCAAAATGTACCTTAACTACTTTACAGACAAGATTTGTTATAAATAAATAGTTAATAGTTTATTTATGTCGCTTTTATTATTATGTCCTTTGTAATGTTTATTTATCTTTCTCGATTTTACGCTTTGCGTATTTTTGTAAAATAGTCATTTCTCTCTTCAATTAAAAACTTTGCGCTCCCTCTTTTTCTTTCTTGTAAAGCCCGTTCTACATTGATTGCAAGAGATGAATCGCACGATCGCAAGCGATATTGTGATTGTCGTGAAGGTCGTCGCAAGCAAAAGTCGCAAAGTTTGTCAAAAACCAAAAGTTTGCGTCTTTACGATCTTGCGACAGCCAATAAACATCGAGCTCCTCACTATCATGCGTTTCTTTACTCTTTGCTGATTGGCTGTAATTTACAACTAATGTCGATAGATGCTCAAATCGCACGATTCTTACGTCTTGCGACAATGCGATCGTGCGATTCGTCTTTTGCGACCAATGTAGAACGGGCTTAAAGTTACAAATCTTACAACGCACCACGTGTAAATTATTGTGTACGACGGATTATTTTGTTGCACTCTCTCACGATCCTTACAATGAAGGATTTATGTACGGGTTTTATCTCTGTAAGAATATTAAATCAACAAGAGAGATGTAGTTTTTGTTTAAAAAAAAAAAAAAAAAAAAAAAAAAAATTGTCGTCGTTAAATATTTTTATATCGACTAAAAAAATCTGTACATAGTTTCTCGTCAAATGTAGAAAAATGCAATCCTCCAGTGTTAGTCCTTCAATTTTATGTGTTTTACATACTTGCATGTATTTACGTAGATTGTTTTTGTTTGCAATCTTTATATGTTAATTCTTGATCACTCGATCCTCGAATTCTCGTCACTGTTACGTCCTATTACTAAGTGGTGACTGTAATGTATAAGTTGTATAAAGTCGCGTGCACTTTATAGATGCACTTATTTATAAAAAGTGATGTTTAATTAAATGATTGTTACCGTAATATGTAAAGCTGTTTTTTATATTTGATAAAACATATATCCCTCTGCCCAAACCACTTTTTATTTACTAACCTAACCGGCGTTTTCTAGATTAATTCTCAACTACAATAAACAAATGACGTTTGATAGCTTTCTATTAGATACAAAGAATGTGTAACGTTCTAAATAAAAAAAAAAAAAAAAAAAAAAAACTAGAAAAAAGTATAGCATAATAGCGGAAACATGGCCAAGAGAAGAAATGAGACAGCTCTTTTATATCTGCTTAACAATGAAATGTAAGAAGCTGTTATGATTACACATGTGAATTGTAAACAAAGACCAGGCGTTGTCGCGTGCATTAACTGGTACCGTTAATGCACGCGACATATGCATACAACATGAATATCAATGTAAAAAAGATCTATAATTGTCGCAAATGTGCAAATGTTAAAAAAATAATTCTCTAAAAGAGACAAAGAAAATATAATAAATAAAATTTCACAAAATTGCAGAAACATAAATTTGATAAGTTTAAAAACATGCGAGTTAATCACATTTGATTAAAATCAATCATTGTAATAACGAGTGAATAATGTATGCTAATAGAGAGACATGTAATAGTAAAAACATTTTGCTTAATCGTAGTTGAGTTTTAAATTGGAGATGTGGAAAAAGTTAACGAAGATAAAAACAAGAAGATATAATCAACCGACGTCGATTAGAGGCTAAATGATCTTCATGAAGAGAAGCGATGGTATTGCGGTTCTCCTGTGACGCGACGGTTTACATAGTTAAGCTGAATCAGTAACCTAAATTTTTGAGGGCTACCGGCAGGGCTTCTCATATCTCTCGCCTTCTCATATCGCACTTCTTCGCACCTTTTCGTCTCTTTTAACAACACGCAAAGGCTTCAACATATTGTGCGAAATTACACTCTCATCTTCTAGCAAGTCAATCTGTTAGTTTAATTAACTTGCGTATTAGAAATCTGTGAAAAATTCACATAATATAGTCGCGCGTGTTTGCTATAATATTCTTCCAAAATTTTGTATAAAAATAATGCTACAATAAACAAATCGAGTAACTAGATGCATAAGGATGTCCTAAAATGAGAGAGAGAATAAAGAGACTCACTTTAACATTTGTAGATAGAATATTTGTTTTTTTAAATAAGATTAAATTTCTAATGAGATTAAACGAACGCAATAAATTTCCGTGTCGTATATTTCTTTTAATGTATACAAAACTTCGAGATCATACTTGTAGATATATGCCTGTGTATACGTGCTCGTCCTTTTTCGAATTCTTCGTGAATGAGAGTCACGTTACACGTTGTGACTTTTCGGATCAAAAGGAGCGTAATATCGAATCAGCGCATATCCTGTATTGGCGTTTTATATCGCATAAAATAGCATAGCATCGGGAAGACGCAACCGGATGCAATGTGGAGTACCTCGGCATCAATTACGACCGTCAAAAGAGACAATGGACAATTCTCTTCTCGCTAGCGAATGTGTACAGCAGTCAAGGCAGCAGACCGTGTGTTGGCTCTACTTGCGGAACCTCTTTAAAGAAAGTCTTTCACCGTGTACGCGAAGGAGGAGTGCCGGTGTGTGTCGTTGGCGTCGGTGGAGAAGGAGGATGAAGAGCAAGAGAGGTGGTCGTGGCAATGGAGATGGTGGTGGCGAGGAAGAACAAGAGAGAAGGAGAAGGGCAAAGAGGAACGACGAAGGAAGAGGACCATGTTATACTACTTTGGTATACTTTGTTGGTACCAGGCAGCGATGTTCTACTTACACGGCACACTTTGCAACTCGCCTCGCTTCAGGATCCTGAAGAGTGGGTCTATCCTACGGTTCCGATCGCGCACACTGTTAGCTATATATATACCGAATGTTATACCACGTGCGAGCCTTAAATTGTAGCCTGTCTTGACATGAACATCTTATGCTTATAAAATATCGTCATATTTTTTAAAAATTTTATAATAAAAATCTAAAAATAACGATATATATTTGCACAGTTTTAGTTAATAATATAATAATTTATATTTTATAGAACAAAGATATTCCATAATATTTTCGCGATAAACACACTGTGTTTCATGTGTCATACACGTGAAACTTGACGATTAAAAAAAAAAAAACTCAGACTGAATAAGAAACATGCTTCTGTGCAAAAATTTGCATCTTCTAAATAAGAAAGTCACGCATCAAAACATTGCACGCAAATGGTTAACGAACAATGTTTCGAAGCATTAATTCGGTAAAGTATCATATTATGTCGCGACGGAATGACAAGAATTTTCGGATTGAGAAATCGAAATGAGACGTCGAATCGCTCATTTCAAGTTCGACACGCTTTCGAGAATTTAAGGAAAGTCCGTGACATAAACTCGTGTCTATGTGTGTATGTGAAGAAAAATTACAAAGCTGAACAAAAAAGATAATACACATATAGAAGATAACTATAAACGTTACAACATAAAAAAAAAAAAAAACTAATATAA